TTTTTGTTGGGAAATATGCTTCCTGGGTGGATCAAACGAGGTGTTCGTTTAGGTAAAACATGTTTAGAGCTGCCAGTCACATCCTCCTGCTCTTCCTCCGTCTGTTGCTGCTCCTGTTGTTTCTACTTCTGATCCTCTCTAAGAAATCCTATTAAGGACCATGCAATATAGCCTTCTAGCCAAAATATTTTATCAATCAATTAAGGAATAACAAGTCGAACCTCCAAATAACTGTTCCCATCATGTAATGCATGTAGTACATTTTTTTCCTTGACTAGAAGCAAACAAATGCCGAGCTTTCCTGTAGATTCTGCTCACACACCGCTAAATCAATTGAGCAAAACATCTAAAAGATATCTCATTTTTCACAGCCCTTAATCTGTCAATTCAATATTTTTATGTTCATGGTGCAGGTCACCTTCATTTGAAACATTCTGAATATCAAACTATAATAAGTTTAGGTTTCATTATATATGTTCACATTTTCTTTATTAGGTCAGCTTCTTCGCATGTACTACCAAAATGGAGTAGTTTACAACAAGTTTTACGCTGCTTGCAAAAGACAACGAATTTTCAATGCAATTGTGATGGAAAGCCAGCTTACCRGACAAGTARCATTGGCTGCGTACGCTATAAAAACCGTGTGGAATGATGGAGWTGACTTTTCTACAGTTAGCAACAGCGAAATTCCTGGAATTTCACAGACCACAATTCAGAAATTTTACACTCATATTGGTAAACTTACAAGATTAATTTTAGATTATATGTATTCAATTTGATTAAGGTAACGTATGTATCAGAATTCCGTATTCTATTCTGATGTACAGCTGGTGGTATTCTCTAATCAATATGTTTCATGATACGTATATTATTTTAAAATAAATACGAAGTATATATATATTTTTTTACCAGAAAATCTTGGTGGGTATAAGTGCCCCGATGGGAATGATGACGGTAAGTTTGCGATCAACTTCTTCGTCAAGTAACAATTCAAAACCTAACTGCTCTATCGMATAATTACGTCACATATTTTGTTGTTTTAACGCTGAGCATATATTGTGGTCGAAAGAGCGGGACAGAAGAACTGCTCGTCAAAGAAAGAAAATGTAAATGAACCATCATGATATATGATATWTATCGAAATTAGATAAAATTGAGAAAAAAAAATATYCATAGGTCCATATTTCTCGTTTCGAAGCATCTTTTCTCACTGTAAACATTCTTTGCCATCATTATGCGATAGGGCAATTAAAAAAAAAAATAAAAAAATAAAAAATAAAATAAAATAAAAATAAATAAATAATCAATATCTTATTCATATTGGATGCTGTATTTTTAGGCTGCTCCCTTCCAGCGAACATGGTGTTTGTTCTTGACGAATCCGGAAGCATAACAAAGGAAAACTATGAAGTAGAGAAA